ATGAATGGTAGTTCATAGAAAAGTTCCAAAGAGAAATCCAGGAGATCAAAAAATACCATTGAAAGAATGGGTAACAGAAGCAACAAATGTGAACACAGAAAATCAGTTCTAGAGAATAGAATTTTTTGTTCAATGATCAGTTAGTGAGAGATGCCTTAAAAACAACAGACATGTGTGTCCTCTTTATTTTGCTTAAAAATATGGCCTCAATGTGCATCCATTTAGATATAAATGTCTCTAGTTTCTCATTCTTTATGGGTGAGTAGTACTCCATTTTATATATAAAAAAAAAACCCACCTCACATCTTCTTTATCCAGTCTCCAGTTGATGGGCAATTGGGCTTTTTCCCAAGTTTTAGTTATTACAAGCTGTGCCACTATAAACATGACTGCACATATATCACTGTGGAATGATTCTTTTAATTCTTTTGAGAAGATACCCAGCAGGGGAATAGCTGGGTCAAATGGGACCTGTAGTCCTAGTTCTCTGAGGTATTTCCATACTGATTTCCAAAGTGGTTGTACAAGTCTGCACCCCCATCAACAATGGAGAAGCGTTCCTTTCTCCCCACAACCCTGCCAACATTTGTTATTGGTTGATTTCTTGATAGCAGCCATTCTTTCTGGGATGAGGTAGAATCTCAGCGTTGTTTTCATTTGCATCTCTCAAATGACCAGTGATGTTGAACATTTTTTCATATGTTTATTTGCTGCTTTTACTTCTTTGTCTAATGAGTGTTTGCTCATTTCAGATGACCATTTTTAGGACAGACATGTACATACCAAATAGTTTCTCTGGTGTGAGAAACTGAAAGTGTAAATAAGGATCAAAATGTATAATAGATAATGTGAAATAGGAAGAAAAGGTCCAAACGGGAAGGGGAAGGGGAGAGGTAGGGGAAAAGAAAGAAGGAAAAGGAGTAAATGTGAGAAAAGGAGAAAATGGAAATAAAGTCTTTGTAAATAGGGAGGGGTGGAGGGTTTGAAGGGAGGGCAGGGAAATGGAGAAAAAAAATAAGAATCAAGATATATCATGTAAAGGTACAAATTTCCAATGATGAATGTCATTATATTGTATAGCTAAAATGTACCAATAAACTTTGTGAATAAAAAAAATGGATTCAGCAGCTGCTAGAGGACTCAAAGAAGATTAATATAAGAGTAATTGGAATTAATGAAACATCAGAAAACAACACAAAAGGTCATAAACAAAACCTCTTTACAAATGTAATAGCAGAAAAATTTCCAGATGTGGTAAAAGATTTTAACACAAAGATAAACGAGTCATATAGAACCCTGAATAGACAGGAGCAGAAAAAAATTCCACACCACATAGTAATTAAAGAAGAAATATAGCACAGAATCTTAAAGGCTGGGAGAGAAAAGCAAGGAGCCACCTATAAAGAAAAACCCACCAGAATTACAAAAGACTTATCAACAAAGGAGAGTGTAGAATACAGCTTCAAGCTTTAAAGGAAAACAACTTCTATCCCTTCAAAAGTTTGTTGTAGAGGAACCTTCCCAGAGAGGACCTGCAGGGGCACAATGGCTCCCACTGGAGGCCTGCCATTCCATCCCTAAGTGCAAGCAGATCCCAGGGAGCAGCTGTGTGGCCCAGCTTCAACCAGAGGCATGCCATACCATTGGCCACAGCCAGGGACCCAATTGTAGAAGAGCCATACAGGCACACAAACAATACCCAGAAGCTCACCCTGATGCCACTGATAAATGCAAGGAGACCCTAGCCAAAGCCTGTGCAGACAACAGAAACGGGGGTGCACAGCCCCCAACCAAAGGCCTTCCCAGTCAATAGGGGCCCCAGGGAGAGGCATGCCTTGATACCATCCCAAGCATGTTCAGGCCCCAGCCAGCCTGCCCAGACAACAGGTCAGCTCAGGGATGTAGAAGGCCACCACTCTGAACCCAGGAATTGGTGTACTGTTGAGCAGCAGAGTAAAGGCTGCTCTCTGGCTTGCTGAGAATTCAGCAAAAAGTCACCTCAACAAAGACTCAGCAGGCTGCATCTGTTGAAATGAGAAGACAGGTAAATAAGTCCCCAAACTAGAGTTCCAGATCACCTAAGGGAACCCCAAAGGGCACAAGATGGAACAATCTGATACTCAATCTGGACTCCCTGAACTGGCAATGAAAGGGGACCTGCAAAAAACAAAATCAGAAATAATTTCTCAGATAACAGCAAAGATTGTGCTCATAGTACAAGACATGATTAATAAATCTAGAGTGGACACAGATAAAAAATAGAGGATCTGAGGAACATGATGAAATCACAACATAGGAAACAAATGGAATCCATAAAGCAGATGTGAACAGATTTCCAGGAGACTAAAAACTCCATTGAAAGTTTATGAAGCAGAATGAGCCAATTTGAAGATAGAATTTCAGATATAGAAGATAGGATCGCAATTAGTGACAAGGAAAAGAAAAAATTCTTTAAAATAGTAAGGGACCATGAGAAATCAATCCAGCAGCTGCTAGAAGATGCAAAGAAGAATAATATCAGAGTGATTGGAGTCAAGGAAGAAACAGGAGAGAGTGCAGACAACATAAATTGAACAACACACTTCTGATTAACAGATGGGTCATAGAGGAAATTAAAGAAGAAATCAAAGAGTTCCTACAACTAAATGACAATGCCAATACAACATGTCGGAATCTATGGATCACAATGAAAGCAGTCTTACGAGGAAAATTCATAGCAGTGAATACTCACATTAGGAAAACAGAGCAAGCTCAATTACACCTCAAGCTTATAGAAAAAGAAGAGCAGGACAAACTCAAAGTGCACAGAAAGGAGAAAATTATAAAGTTTAGGGCAGAAATCAATTCAATGGAGACTAAGAGAACAATACAAAAAAAATCAATGAAGCCAAGAGTTGGTTCTTTGAAAAAATAAAGAAAATTGACAAACCCTTAGCCAACTTTTTCAAAAAAAGGAAAGAAAAGGCCCAAATCCATGCAATTAGGAATGAAAAGGATGAAATCACAACAGATCCATCAGAAATCCAGAGGATTATCAATACTTATATCGAGAACCTAAATGCCAATAAGATGGAAAACACAGAAGAAATGGGCAGATTCCTACCAAAGTTGAACAAAGATGACCTAAAAATTCTAAATGACCCAATATCAATCTATGAAATTGAAAATGTCATTAAAAACTTACCAACTAAGAAAAGCCCAGATCCTGATGGCTTCACTGCTAAATTCTACAAGACATTTAGGGAGGAACTACTGCCACTACTGTTTAAACTCTTCAATGAAATGGAAAGGGAAGCAATACTCCCTAATTCATTGCTGGAAGCAAGCATCACCTTGATTCCCAAAACAGAGAAAGACCCAACTGAAAAAGAGAACTCTAGGCCAATCTCACCAATGAACATAGATACAAAAATCTATAATAAGATATTGGCAAATAGAATGCAAAAGATCATCAAGAAGATCATACCCCCTGACCAAGTGGGATTCAAAAAAGGCAAAGAAGGGCTGGGGATTTAGCTCAGTGGTTCCGGCACCTGCCTCGCAAGTGCAAGGTCCCAAGTTCAACCCCGGTACCAAAAATAAATAAATAAATAAAAAGGGCAAAGAAGGACATTACATTTTGGTTAATGAAACTATTCAACAGGAGGATATCATAATTATAAACACATATGCACCAAACAACTGTGCACCCAACTTCATAAAACAAACACTATTACATATAAAAGATCAGATAAATATCAATACAATTATAGTGAGGGACCTCACTACCTCACTATCGCAAATACACAGCTCAATTTAAAAAAAAAAAACAGAGTTGGACCAAAACTTGGAATAAGTGGACTTAATAGATATATACAGAATATTCAATCAAACAACACAAAAATACACATTCTTTTTGGCTGTACATGGTGATTTCTCCAAAATAGGCCATAGTCTAGCTTATTATCATACCTAAGTCTATGCAAAGAAACTGAAACTTTTCAATGCATATTATCAAACCACAATGCAATGAAATGAGAAATCAATAGCAAAAGAAACCACAAAACAATGCATCATTATGGAAATTAAGCAACACACTTTTAAATAATCAATAGGTCACTGAAGAAATTAAGGAAGAAATAAGACAATTCCTATAATTAAATAATGTCAGTACAACAAACCAGAAGTTATGGGACACAATGAAAGCAGTACATGAGGGAAATTTAGAACTGTGAACGTCCACATCAGAAAAGCAGAATAAGTCCAAATAAGTAACTTGATAATGCATGTCAATGTCTTAGAAAAGTGAGAACAATCCAAATCCAGAGTTTGCAGAAGGCAAGATCTTGTATAAATTTTTAAAATTTTACCTCTGAAGTTATTGTGATTTATTAGTTATTTCAATGACACAACCACAGGTGTATCTTACAGGGTAACTTGACTTGCTCTCATTAAGGAAACCATCTTTAAAAGTAAAGCTAAAGGGTAAAAAATAGTACAAAATTATATTTTCTAATTATTTAAAAATGCTATTCTAATTAGTTCATTTACCAAGAGTCACTTACAAATACTGACCTTGATTTTGTTGGAACTTTATGAGAATGACGTAACTAGAAAAATGGTTGTGAACTTGGTATATCTTAACTTCTTTATGTGAGTTTAATATTAAATAACTACATAGGTTCTGGCATGACTCTACCAAATTAACTTCAATTTTACTGTCTCTCAGTATCCCCTTCAAACATGCAGTATGGATATAACACATTATTTTACATTAATTCATTGCTTTACTTAATTTGAAAATACAAGTTAGTGTTTTAGACAACCAAGTGCTAGATATTAAGCTAATTTCATTTCAAAGATGTTATCTCTTAATTTTGATAATTACAATAAAAAGTAGCAATACTTTATGATGTTTTTATAGATAATCCTATGAGTCTAAGTACCTCAATCTTAAAGATTATGAATTAAAGTTCAAATGTAGATCAGAAAAAGTAATTATATCCATGGAAAATGCAAGATAAGCTTATGGAGAAAAAGTCTTTATTTTCACTTTTTCCTACCTGCCCAAAGAACAAATACATGTGGGTCCAGCAGTAAAAGGGTACGGACTCCAACCACTCACCCTCACACAACCCCAAACAGATGTTTTTCCTGCATAATAATCAGGATAGAGATAGTTTTTTTTAATTCCTTCAATATCATTGAGGAACATTTATTTTTGGTATCATCATGCATCAGCCGGCTAAGTGCTTAGAGAATCTTGGTCGGTGAAACCTTCAAATAAAACAATGCAGCTGCTATTTGCTTGATAAAATAGCATCACGTTTCTTTGCTGTCCATCTTGATCTCAGGTCATAATTACATAAAGCTTAAATATGAAGAATAAATACCAGATATTAATGAGAATATACAATCAAATTGAGAGATGCTCTCTTAACAAAAATCTACTATGCTTGTTTTACATTATGGAAGTTTTCTACACATTGAATACTAAAATAACTGAGAGATAAATTTAATGCTGTACTCACCTTAAGAAAATACATATCTACAACACAGTGGAATTGGACTTTCCCACTGAAATTTCTAATTGTTCTTTACAATTTTTGTTCTACACATTTCATCAGTAATTTTTTCACCAGCTTCATAATCTGGAAAACAGATCCCAGTTTCCTTGCTGAAAGAAAATTGACTTGGTTCTTTTGCATGCATATACAAATAAAGACAGAAAGTTACTGACTTGAATATGTGGATGGAATGGAGCCAAGGAGGTATAAACAGATTTTTGATAACAAAAGGACAGATGACCAGTACCTGTATAGAACCTTAATATAAGTGGAATAGAGTTGTGAGCCCTTGAGAAGCTGAAATTCTCAAATTTTCTCCTTGCACCTGTCCCACTGTCCTAAAAGTGCAACTTACTAAGGCCTGGTATGTCTGTTCTATCCCTGTCTGTGAAAAAGACTTGAGTCTCCTTTTGTCCGTCTCTCCCTCTCAGTCCAGTCCAATTATTTTATCAATGAACTAAATATTCTTCCCTTCATTTCCTTCTTTTATAATCTACTTCTGTTTATAATTCTCTTTTTACCTATTCTACCAATTATTGTTATTATATTTTACTACTGAGGAATGAATTTAGGGGTTTCAAACTGACTTATACTATCAGCTCTTTTATTATTTTTTTAAATACAGGGTCTCACAAAATCGCTAAGTTGCCCAGGCTGGGTTCCAATGTGTGATCCTCCTGAGTCAACATCACAGAGAATTCCACCATGTTCATTATCTCTCCCACAAAAACAGAAACCAAGTAAAATGCTCTTACTTAATTCTTCTTTTAATCTATGGTTCTCTTACTTATTCTTCTACAAGTTCCATAAAGGTCAGTAATCATGATTTATCTCTTACTTTTTGAAATTTACAATGAGTTTCTATGTGAATACCCATCTAACAATATTAATCCATTAAGCAATATTAACATAAAAGTTTTAACTTTCAGCATACATATATTTCTTTTCTATTTACTTGGCATCGTCTCATTACTCACTCTTTTATGATGCTTTCACCTTATTTTTTTCTTCCTTTTTACTTTTTGACATTTCTGATCACTTTTTAATGCTTTCCTAGTGGCTTGTTCTTCTACCCAAGACACAAGTCTATGTTTCCCAAACATCTGTCTTCACCTCCCAGTCATTCTGTCAGAAACAGAACAATCATTTCATCTCAGAGACCCGCTTTGCTCCCCTAACACTTTTGTTCTAATTTTTCATATCCTTTGGCACATGTTGATTAACACAGAGCCTTTAACATTTCTTCTTTGAGTTAACTTTTTTTTTTCCTTTGGAGTCCAGAGTTCATAATATAGAGCCAGCTCAATCTTAATCCCTTCAGTTGATTTACATTCTATTAACTGCCTGCAAATTAGTGAATATTGAGTATATTGGGACTCCCGTGATTTTCTCTGTAACATGACTGGTACTGAGACTTTTTTCCAATGTGTCAACTTCTGATTTACTCCTTTACAAATAATCTTGACTACTCTGATCTATTATTTCCTCCACTTGTTTCCTTAAGGAACACTGTATTATTCACTTATGTATCAATGGACTAATGATGGCCTCCATTAGAATTTAAACTCCAAGAAGAATCTTGTCTGCTCTGAGATCACTTAAGGTGCCTGGAAGAGTTCTGGACGCAGAGTAAATATGTGAATGAATGAATGAATGAAGGAACATCATGGTTCTAGGATATTGAACGGAATATTACAGAAATGCCTTGGTATACAATTCAACAAACTGGAAGATTTTCTACTTCCTTTTATCTGGTTAAATGATTAAAAGTATCATATGGGTAGGAAAAGATGATTTGAAGCTTTGAGGAACATTAAAACTTGACAGAAGTCAAAGCAAGGCAGGACAAAAAGACAGCATTACCTTTGCTGAAAAGCACAATATAAAGCCTTAGTAAAACATTTGCAATCTACTCCAGTGATAGACATCTCTCAAAGAATCCACCTAGCACCACTTCCAGAACACCAGCCACCACCATGGATAACACACAACCCTTCTTGGTGTATCTGATTTCCTCTTTGACACATATACGTGGACAGAAACATTGTTGAATTTTGTCTCCATCACATCTCCGTCCGGTGACATTTTCATCTGAACTTGGACGGACTTCTTCATAGGCCACAGTTAGTGCAAGTAAATCTACACGATGGTAAAGTCCTAGAAACTCAACAAAAGTAAGTAAAAATGAAATTCACACACCTTTAGAATTCAAGATCTAAATTTGACAAAATTTATGAGATAGAAATACATATTAATCCTTAATTAGATCAAATAAAATGATCGGAAGACTCAGACATGAATCCGCTTTATTCTTTCTTTTTTTTTTTTTTTGAAGTTACAAAAATTGACCTTTATTTGTTGTAGTAAAGTCTTTGTCTTTTGACACAAAGTAACAGTTTAGTACAGAACACTCCAGGCCGTAGGATACCACCACCACCCTTACTGTCAATCTGGCACAGCTGGAGAATTCTCTTCTGCTTCCCCTAGCTGGCTGAGCTAGAAAACTTATGCTGGTAAAGCAGAGGACAGCATTGACGGCAGAAACTTGTCTCTTGTTTAAAAATGTACGTAAGAAAATATATCCCTTTAAAAAATATATCTTTAAGAAAAAACAGTACTTATACCTACAGTGTTTGTTGAAAAGAAGAAAAACATTTATTTCTTATTCCACAAACTGTGTCATATTCTCCTCTAAGATTTCCAGAGATGAACAAAACCAATTCTCTTTCCAAAAACCTGAGTACAATATGTGTAAGTAAACTGTTTTCAAGTAATGTACATACTGTGATTCAGCTCTGACCGGGTAATTTGAGAACAAACAGTAAATGACTGCAAACAAAGCTTGAAGAACAGACTTTTGAAATAATCAAATAATGAAAAAAACAAAAACTCTCCCAGCTCTCCCAGACAGAGGTACCAGTGTATCTTGTTATCCCAGTTTTGAGAAGACACTTGTTGATTCAGGGAAGAATTTTTAAAGCTGATTGCACAACTGAGGCATGATTGAGAGTAAGGAATGGGTGGAGAGAAAGGGAGGCCAGTCTGTCCTTTGGTCTTAGAACAAGATTGCGTGACCAGCTCTCTTTGAGAATCAGTCACAATAATATGATCCTATCGACCTCTGAAAGAGATAACGTTATCAAACCTATTTCAAAGATGAAGAAATGAGTGCAGGAAAATTAAATAATTAGTTCAAATTTACACAACTAAGAAATGATATCTAAGACTTGATTCTGGTTTTAGTTTCTTCGTTTATAACAACACACAGCAAAGCAATGCTTCATTCATGGAATAAATGTAGCTAGTTACATAATTCTTCACTATCATATGTGACTATACACTCAAAAATTAGGCAGAAGCCAGCCATGCTAATCATATGAAGGCCGAATGAATCAAGGAAATTGGCCACAACAAATAATAGGAAATCTTTACAAAAAGGAAAATATGCTGAAAATATGTATCTCAGTGTTCTGAAAATTTGTTCATAAATCATGAATAAAAGTGAAAAGGAGTAGGGCTGGGGATTTAGCTCAATGGTTCCACCACCTGCCTTGCAAGCACAAGGACCCAAGTTCAATCCCCCATACTGAAAAAAAAAAAAAAGTGAAAAGGAGTAGAGCTAAAAATTATGAGAAGAAGAAAAGTTCAAAAACTAGAAATATGATTAATTTAGTGAATAATAAAAAGTAATATTAAAAATCAAATAAAAATAAAATTTCTCCCAAATTGTAGGAAGGAGAACAAATACTAGAAAAATAAAACCACCATTTAAAACTACCTTGTAGCTCCATATTATACACAGAATTAAATCAAGCTTACTACCATTGGGCACAAAGCACTATATTATATGGCATCTTTCCCTATGAATTAAATTACAGCAATGTTTCTATCAATTGAAAATGTTTTATGTGACTTATTTACCTTGTCAATATTTTGAAGTTAAGAATTTTGTGCTTGTTGTTGTCTCTGCTGGAAAACTTTTTCCTCAGTACTTAGAGTGGTTGGTTATTCATTCTTCCTATCTACAAGCACATGATTTGTCTTCATAACAGCTTCCTCCTATCACAAAAGCATTAGCCCTGCCCCCCATCTTCCCAAATTCATCTCCTTGCCTCTGTTTTATCTCCTGTAAGACACTCTGATCATCTGAAATAATTCATTCATCTTTTAATTTATTATTTTACCCCATACTTACAAGTCACTTTTTCATGGGCCGACTTTGTTTGCCTAATGGATTTGACAGAGTTGAAATGTTGATTGAATGAGAAATAAAAGGAAATGAAACCTCCACTTAGCTTAAATTCTGAAAGGAGAACATTAATAATGACATGACTAAAATAATAAACAGAATAATAGGAAACATATGATACTAGACAGGGAGGGCTACACCTTTTATGTTTGCTCTCACCAGAGCTGCCCTGGCATTCAGCCAGTTTGAGTGACACAGCAGTCTCCATTTCTATTTCTGCCCCTATTCTCTCTTAAACCAATACATGTGCCAGATATCCTGCCTGCAATGATTTTCTTGAGAAATTATTTCTATGCATTTTTCTATACTCTGAATTACAAAGATTTCACAAAACTCTACATCTAATGCTCTGCTACATAGGCAGACAATCCCTGCTTTATTTATGAAATTAATACCAACCAATCAACACTCAAGATAAAAATTTTAATGGCTAACCACATTTATGACATTAATGATGCCTAATCAAAACGATTTTTCTTTACAACCTACTCACATGACATTTCGCTTATTTTTCTTGATATTTATAATTGAAATATATAAAACAATAAGCAAACAAGTCATGTTTCTAAGAAGCAAATATACAAAAGACATAACACTTATTTTGAAAACTTAAATAAATTAATAAATCAAAAGAACAGATTCTTGGAAAACTTCATATCACTTCAATGCATATGCACATCTGAATTCAAAATTTCCAGACCTACCAAATGTACAAAAGCTTCCAGTTTTGTTTTGGTCTACATTAGTCTTCATATCCCCTCAAAATTATCTGGAAGCAGTGCAATCATCTAATATGCTATAAGAACTCCCACAATCAGGAAGTACATTGGCTTTCTTCTCACGCTATAATTTCTGTGTTTCCTTGTCTTCAGAAACAGAATAGGTAAACTCCCAGGATTTGTCTGAAAAATGAACTTAATAATCAGTGTATTCCAGCCCCACCCAGAAACTTTATTTATAGAGCTTCTTTTTAGGGTTGTTGGAATAAGGTTAAAGTTTCATTGCTTTTCCAACAATAATTGCAGTGAACCTTAAGGTTCAAAGTCTAATAGAAACTTGGACAAGTTCTGACAATGACAACTCTCATTGCTGCTATAAAAAAGGATGTACAGAACAAAAGACTGGGAACAAATTCTTTAATTTTAACCAAATTATCCACACAAAGCAAACAAGATTCAGAATCTTTATTGTAAAAGAGTGCAATATGGAAAACAGAAAATTAAATAACTATATTTTTATAGAGTTGAGAGTACAGAAAACAAAATAATCATCATATCTGCCTCTACAGAGTTTGCATTATTATGCAGGAGACTGAAATGGTAGCAGTTAGGATAATTCTTGATAGAGGGGTTACAAAAAATATTGTGCAGTAAAGGAAACAATAATAGTGAAAATTTATTATCTCTTCTATGATCTAATACCTATAGTAAATGTTTCTTATATGAAATGTAAATGAATAAATTGTAATGAATAAATGTAAATAAATGAATAAATTTATCTTCATCAAAACTACTGTTCTTTCATAAATGAGTTTTAAAATGTTAAGTAACTAGGCCAAGGTCATATGGGTTTAGTTGTTAAAGCAAGAAATATTTAGGTGGCTACTGCAGCACAAGTCCTAATATCTAAATCTTGGAAGCAGCCTTCCATATATCCATCAACATATGACTGGATAAAGAAAATGTGGTATCTGTACATAATAGAATACTACTTTACAATAAAGGGGAATAAATTTGAAACACTTAAGGAGAATAAAAAGCACCTAAAAACATAATGTTAAGTGAAATAAATCAGAAACACAAGCTTAAATACTATATGGCTTCTCACATTTGAGTATTAAAAGTACAAAGTAAAAGCAAAATAAAGGAATGATTAAAGAGGGAGATGATAGATCATATTAATAGGAAGGAGACCAAGAGACAGAGGTTGGGGAAAGGGGAAAGGAGAAGGGAACATATTATGATTATGATTATTAGGCATCATTAATGACATCATTGCGGGCTTCTCTTATTTAAGGGAAGAAATTTGAGCACTTTAATTGTTTTGTTCAGCCATATTTAGCTGCAAAGATTGATGTGGAGGGTGGAGTTTTGACAAACAAGTAGACAAGTAGAGACCAGAAAGACCAATGGTATACTGTTCTCATTGATCATAGATCACATTTTATTGGGGAGTAGAAGAAATTATGAGAGCAGTGTTTAAGAGTCAAATTTTGGTTTAATTTATGAATTACAAATATCTCAAATATTACTGAAAATGAGGACCTGGCTTGAAAGAGTTTGTGTATTTGTTATTGACATAGAGGAGGCAGGTTTTGGTCATAGCATATTATAGGCCATAGCCACAAGCGCAATTTATTCAAGGACCACATAACAAAGTTATTAGAGAAAGGGTGTCGAGGAACTGGGAGTCCAAGCTGGTAAATAGGCTGTCTTGATTGGTACTGAGATTATCAATGTAGTAGTGTGATATTGACAGTAAACATAATATCTTTTGAAACCTGAACTTGGGTAGCATTGTTATGAGAGGTTGTAAGCTGTTTTAAAAATGGCCCACAATAAAATGTCACCTCCTCTCCTCTTACTCCTTCTCCTTCTCCTCTTCCAAGACTTATTCAATATCCTCTTCCTTTTTGGACAACTCTATAATATATAAAAAATCATTCACGTAGCGTACAACAATAGGGCACAGTCTGGATTTGGCCTGCAGACTGCAATTTGCTGCATCTGAACAAGACAGGAGGGAGAGGGAATGGTCTTCAAACAGTAAAGAGCAAGCAAAGAGCAAGGCAAACCCCGTCCTCACCTCTAGGTCTAGAAGTGACTTCAACAAAATACTAGTTTTCATTTATTTGAACTTAAAGAAAATGAAGCACAAAAAGTTAAGGAATCCCTTCACCAACTCGACTGATATCATAATGCTGAAATGAATTTAACTGTAGCATTCTTTTTTGTAAAAACTATGTTTCAATTTGTTTTTAGACAATATCTGAAAGTGGAATTGCTGAATGATTTGAATGTTGGCGATTTTTTTTCCAAAACAATTGCCCTATTTGAAAATTTCATCATTGCCATTCAGTTTCATTTGCTATGAAGCTAACCTAAAATATTATCACACTTAACAAAACCTGGTTCAAATATTTGTAATGTTAGTTTAATGAACTTAAAAAAACTTTTTTTCTGCTTTTGAAAAATTAAGTTTATTGGTACCATTTAGATATATATAATGATCATATTCATCATAGACAATTTGTACCTGTACATGATATATCTTAAGTTCTTCTTTTTTCCCATTCCTCTCCTCTCCTTTCAACCCCTCTTCTCCTCATTATTTACAAAGTTGTTTCCATTTTATTCTTCTTTTTTCTTTTTCTTTTTCCTTCCTTCCTTTCCCCCTACTCCTTCCTAGTTCCCCTTTCCTTTTAAACAATTTCACAATATCTATTATCATTTTGGTATGTATTTACCCTTTCAGTTTCTCACACCAGAAAGATAATGTGATATTTACACATATGTATCCAATTTATTTCACTTAAGAGTATGGTCTTAAGGTTCATCCATTTACCTAGGAATGTTTCACATTTATCCTTATGGCTGAGTAATACTCCATTGTATAAAACAAAACAAATCTTTTTTATTTGTTCATAGATTGATGGGCATTTGGGTTGTTTCCATGATTTAGCTGTTACAAACTGTTCCTATAAGCATGGGTGTGCATGTATTGCTGTGGTATAGCGCTTTTAATTCTTTCGAGAAGATATCCAGAAGGGGACTTGCTGGGTCAAATGGGACCTATGATCCTACATTTTTAAGGAATCTCTACATTGATTTCCACAGTAGGTGTACCAGTGTACACTTCTACCAACAGTGGAGAAAGCTTCCTTTTTCCCCACAGCCCCACCAGCATTTGTTGTTAGTTGATTTCTTGATAATAACCATTCTTTCTGGAATAAGATGGAATCTCAGAGTTGCATCTCTCAAATGACCAGTGATGTTGAACATTTTTTCATATATTTATTTGTTGTTTGCACTTCATCTGAGAAGTTTGTGTTCATCTCAGATGCCTATTTTTGGACCAAGTCTTTAAATTTGAGGGGGCCTGATTTTTTTCAATTCTCTATGTTCTAGATATTAGTCCTTTGTTTGAGGAACAAGTGGCTAAAATTTTTTTCCATTCTGGGTTGTCTTTTTACTCTGTTGGTGATTTCTGCAATAAATTGAATTCCTGTCCTGTTTATTTTGTCTGCTTTATGCTTTCATCAATTTAATTGTGTCTATGTGCGTGTGTGTGTGTTGAGCCAATGGCAGTCTACTACTGCGGTATAAGCCCTTTTCATTTATTTTGAGACAGAATTTTACTAAGTTCCTGTATCTGTCCTTCAATTTGCAATCCTCCTACTTCAGCTTTTCGAGTGACTGAGATTATAGGCATGTGCCCTCTGGATTTGGTAATTGTGAAAAATATTTACTTACAATGATAACATAAAGAATGAGAGACAAGTGCCAACCTCTCTGGTCAAGATCTTTGCTTCTAGATGTTTATTTTAGTGTCACATTTTACTACTTTTAAGGAAAGATTAATTAAAACAATAGCAAGTGTCAAACATAGATTAATTTAAGAATTTATGTACAATAATAAAAACATTTTATGTTTGCACATAGTACAGAAAAAAAATCACTGAGAGACCACATATACAAATTTTATGTCTACTCATTGCATTTACTATTAGCTGTCATTGTATATACATGTTTATGAGGAAATATTTATCCCATAATTGTTATTTAACAAGTTATTTCTATAGCTATGTGTGGCATCATCTGCTAATTGCTTAGTATTGATATAAGATAATGTAATTTTCCCCCTTACAAAATTTCTATTTTGAGAAATGTCTTATGACATGATTGTTGAAATTGAATAAAAAGTTTATTGGTTTTTGAATTTCTGTATTGTTACTATTTTCCTGATAAAATAGAATTACCTCAAATGTACCTCTTTTGTTATTCCATCTTTGTCTAGATTATATATGCAGATTGTACTAGAAGTTTAATAACCATGACTACAAAGAAAATATAGTAAGACTGGTGAAATACAAAGACAGAAGAGGATTTGGTAGTAGATAACCGCATGGATGGAACTCCTCCACCAGTCAAGGATGCCTGTTGATAGGTTTCTTTGTGATTATGAAACATAACATAAATCATGGTTAATGCAAATATTCTGTCTTGTCTTAACCATAATCCATTTTATCTTGTCTTCCACTCTGAATTGTTAGGATAGGCTTTTTGACAAATTAAAATTTTCTGACTTTTTATTGCAAGTTAGATACTTCCACTTCTCTATTCTGTGGCTTTTAGTATTTTCTATCCCAAAGAGCTCTTCAGTCTTCAATGAGCTTCAATTTCTTTACTTTCCCCACATACAAAGCAGCTAATTCCTCTAGTGATCATAAGTATTGAATAGTATAACTCTTATTACTTGGATTTTACCAATGCTTCAAAGGGAAAAAATTTACAGATGTAACGAACTAGCATTGTATTGTGTAAACCATTTTTGGAAGGACAGACCCAACCTATACCAGTTACTAGGAGTCCTTCAAACCCTGTGCATTGACTAAAATAATGATATTACACAGAGAGGAAATCTTTTCTTACATTTCTCTTCTGCAATTATAAATGGTTACCAACTCACAGAAAAGATATTATACAAGAAAAAAAGATATTAAAAAGAAAAATTTACCATATATAAGGAGAGTTGGCAGAAATAGCACATTTACAATGAAAAATGTTGGGGGACTGGGGATTTAGCTCAGTGGCGCCTTGCCTGCCTGGCAAGTGCAAGGTCTGGAGTTTGATCCCCAGTACTGAAAAACAAAAAAGAGTACTATAAGAGAAACAATGAGAAATGTTGGATGAATTACTTCTGAGTAAGAAAAAAATACAGAAGTGATATTTACAGTAAGAATTAATATACTACATGTGGGACTTCTATAGATCTTTCCAAAACACACCAATTTTATTCCGTGTGGATATTATGATGCTTTGATATTTAGTATATTTTAAAAATATATCAGGAATACATGTTTTGCTATAGATTTTCCTTCAGCCAGCTAATATATTGATTTATCACTCTATGAGTAATTTTAAGTTGGGGAAAGGACATTGCCCCATGGAATCCATCCTCAACATGGTTATGGGTCACTTGAACTCCAGCATTCCGAAGCCTGGTAACATACATGAGTCCATCATCTCTTAAGATATCATATTGACAAGTGAGGACGTAAGTCAGGGGTAAACCATGCAACTTGCTGTCATCTGCCAACAAAGGAGCTGCCCTCACATCTAAGAACCCAGGATATTTTTGAGATAACTCAGAACTACCATAGGTTGGATTGTTATAAACATATCCTTTTCTAAACCTCTCAGGGAGCAAAGAGCTCCAGTTGACAAACTGGAACAGATGACTGGATTCTGCAGGTACATGCTGGTTTGAAAGCATGGCTTTCTCAAGTGATCTGTCTCTAGTGAAGTATTCACTCCAGAACCTGGTCATGAGTGACTTGGGCAGAATCGGCATATGTAAATTTTCTTGATATGATGGTGAATCTAAATCAAGAGGTTGAAGTGCAGGATAAATTAAAGCCTGGATTTTGGGCTTGATATTGACATCTGGGTCACTGAAAAGCTAAAGAGAAATTAAAATGATATGCAAAAATTATTTCCTTTGAAAATAATGAACAACTGCAACAAGATAGTCTATATATGAATTCAGCATCTCAGAAAAGACGTAAGAAATAAACAAAGTGTATCACCCATCTCAACAACCCTTCTTTGAAGGGTTCAAAAGAAATTCTAGAACTAGATGTTCCTTAACTAAGCATATGTTTGACTTAAGAAAAGTCATCTTCCCTAAATCCTTTGGGGATAATGCAATAGTATCTAAGTAATAATTAGTAAGTTTACATCATAACTTTTCAACCAAGAATGACATACAGAAGCACTCTGTAAATTTAACCTCATTACATTCCTCTTAGTACAAAAGTATATTAAAATAGCCTAGTTTAAGTTTTGCCATGAAGAAAAAGGATCCCTGAAGTATTTCTGACTTTGCTTTGATCCCAAATTGACATAGTGTTGTAGGAGATTTGGAAAGGCTTTCTTTGTGAGATGTTCTGTGAAAATTATTCTTCAATATCAGGCCCAATATGCTAATGTTTGTAAAGATCAGTCATCAAAAAAGCAGAATATACAAGTATTACTGTTGAACAAAAGTGATCCAAAAAAAGATTTCTTTATAATATTTCAATTTTTGAGAATATAGTCTTTAAAATGGGATTTTATGTTTTCTAAATGGATATTATACTATAAATACATATTATATATAATTTCTATATAAAATTAGAGGTACTGAATGTATCCTAAAATTTTGCAATTTTTGGATCTATCTACTTTTTAATTATAATGGTCAAAATAGATTATTTTGAATATTTTGGAAAACATTTGTAAAGATCATATCACGTTACCAGATTTTTAATGTAAATTTATGCAAGTGGCCCTCAGGACAACTGTGTATTTAAAAGGTTTATTTTTCTTTATGGATAAGGAAATGAATGCTTAGAGGGACTAAATGAACTCGTCAAGATCCCATTTAAAAATACCTTCATCAATTCAAGTTTATGGATTTCTAATCTTTATAAATATTTTAGGACTTTTAAATGTGATTATTTTCTAAAACTCGTCAGAATATTTTTGTAATGGAAGACTAATCCACCTGATGATTATTGAATACATCTGAATCTCCAAAAAGTTAAAAGTCATTTTCTGTTTTCATTCTATCTCATTTGTCTGACTATTATAATATTTTACTGACATATATCAAAGTTTAACTCAGTGATCTACTCAGATTATTATTTCATTATGAAAATAAAGAGAACCTTGACAAAAGCAGATATCGACATTTGATGTATTAGCCATTTTTAACAATATTCTGTTTAATGTTTCAAACATTGCCACTTTTATATTTGCACATATGTAGTTAGGTATTTATAAGTAAACAATTTTTCAAAAACAGAAATGATGACCATCTTACCTGCTGAGTCACTGCTGCAGCTAAATTCCCTCCTGCACTGTCTCCAGAAACACAGATTCTCTCAGGGTTTATGCCATAATTTTCAAGAATGTTTTTGTGTAAGAACCACCTTAAAGCATTATATACATCTTCAAATTGGACTGGGAAATGATACTTAGGTGCTAATCTGTAGCTGTGGAGAGAAAATATGGTTATCATGTCACTCTTTTCAAAAAATAATTCAAGTGTAATATTTATGCCAGAAATGTTCATGTAATAACTGTACAGCTTCTTGTGCTCGCTTTGGTGGCACATATCCTATAAGTGTACAACTTCTTGAATTAGAACTAAATGTAGCCACATAACCACAAATTGTGAAAATGAATCTTGCCTGCACATTGAAGTCTTCTATTTATTCTCTTCAACTCTTGAAGTTTCCATTAACCTAATTTAGCAGCATCAACTGATCTTGTATATTTTTGCCCTTAAAATAGATGAACGTCAATGGTATGTACACCTATGCCCTTGGATTTGGTTGTTCAACACTATAGTTTTCAGCCTCATGCACATTGCTGTGTGCTTCTCTTTCTATATAATATTCCACTGTGTGAATACACCACATATCATTCCAAAAGCGAGTCATTTCATTTATATTAGTTATCTAAAATGTTTAGTTATAGAACCAAAAAGTAAAATATTTATTTCTAGGGACTGTTGAGAGGGACAAATGGGGAATTAATCAGTGGATCAATCAAGTAAAATGAATATGCTGTAGAGATCTGTTTTATAATATTGTAAGAAAGTCGAAGGTAATGGGTGTTTAAAACTTGGTTTAGAAAGTAGATTTTATATGTTCTTACCACAGCAAATAAATAATAAGTAAATGAATAATACATTCCAACTCTAAAAGGCCATATAAGTTGGGTTATGTTCAGTCTTAGCTTTCCACAAACGTTGTTAGAGATGTTCTTGTATCTGGTATCTAGTAAACATATATATTCCGATTGATACTTACCTGTGCCATTGATGAGTATAATGTGTACAATATGCATAGTTTCAGTAGTGTCAAAGAAATGTGAAATCTAGTTATTCTTTAACTGCAAGTTTATAAAAATCTTCTGGTGTCTATTCTTCCCAACCTTTTATGTTTTATGTCCTTTTCATTTGAGCTATAACAATCAATTATGGAGATACTTCTGGGCACATTTGATTTATATTTTCTATTTAAATATACTAAATGTTCATACATTTATTCACAATTTTGTTTTTGATATTTTGTTTTGTAAAGCCTTTCTCCTCTACTTCTAATAATTTGTAGTGGTTTGTATATTGTGAATAAGAAAAAATCTATTTGTATTTTAGTATTTTTAATTATATACAAATATAAATACACAAATATTTCAAGAATAATTTTCCTACTTAGCACTGAGCCTTAATTTTAATATAATAACTTTAGTGAGCTATAATTTATATGCCATACAATCCACTTGAGATATGTAATTCAAGAGTTTTTAATATGTTTAAAAGTTTTGCAATGATCACCACAATCAACTTGAGAACATTTCTACCACTCAAAAAAAAAATCAGCAAACAAAATAACAGCACTATACCCATTGACAAATATTTCTCACTTTCTGTTTCATCAATTACCATCCTAATGCAACCATTAATCTGCTTCCAATACTCCCTAATACGAGACCTTTCATTAAAATGGGACCGTACAATGTGTTGCCCTTTTCAACTGGCTACCTTCACATAACATAATATTTTCAAGATTTATCCATGTTTTAGTGGTAGCATTTCTCTTTAACAAGTAATATTCAACTGTGTGGATATATGACATTTTATTTCCCATACATCTGTTGATGGAAATTGAGTTTTTTCCACTTCAGTAGTTTTATGAGTAATGCTGCTCCAAATACAAAAGATTTTTATGGATATAGTTTAATAGGCCTTTTGCAAGCACCTAGAACTGGAAATACTGGGTCATATGGTAGTTCTGTTTTTAACATTTTCAGGATCAGCCAAACAATTTTCCAGACTGTCTATGCCATTTTACACTTCCACCAGTGATATGTGGGGGGGTTCATTTTTTTGGTTCTTCTCATTATAATTTGTATTTCTATGTTTTAAAAATTATGCTTATCTTAGCTGATGTGAAGTAGTTTTGATTTAGATTTTCCTAATGACTTCTGATGTTTAGCAATATTTTCTGTGCACACTGGTCATTTTAATTATCTAACTAGCTTTTTCTTTTAATTGCCTCAGTGTCAATTGAGAAATATTTATTTTTTGGCAAATCACGCATCAGTCACTCAGAACAGTGGAGAAAATCTTGGTAGTTTAAGTATTTGAACCCAAAATGAAACAATGCAGCTTCTTACTCAATTGATATGATAACAGCATCAAGTCTCTCTGCTGTCCATCTTGAGAGCAGGTCATAATTACGTAAAGCTTAAATAAAAGAATAAAAGGCAGATATTAGTGACAATGCACAAAGGAAAGACAGAATTTTTTTCTTATCTTGAATCTATAAAGAACTTAAAAAGATCAGAGCTCCCAAATTTAAAGACTCAATCTGAAAATGGTCATCTGAAATGAACAGACATTTCTCAGACAAAGAAGTAGAAATAGCAAATAAATACATGAAAAAATGTTCAACATCACTGGTCATTTGAGAGATGCAAATGAAAACAACTCTGAGATTCCACCTCACTCCAGAAAGAATGGCTGCTATCATGAAATCAACCAATAACAAATGCTGGCGGGGCTGTGGGGAAGGAGGAACCCTGCTCCACTGCTGGTGGGAGTGCAGACTGGTGCAATCACCTTGGAAATCAGTATGGAGATACCTCAAAGAACTAGGACTGGATGTCCCATTTGACCCTGCTATTCTCCTGCTGGGGATCTTCCCCAAAGAATTAAAAGAATCATACCACAGTGATATATGTGCATCCATGTTCATAGCAGCACAATTTGTAAGAGCTAAAACTTGGAAGCAGCCCAATTGCCCATCAACTGGAGACCGGATAAAGAAAATGCATTTTGTTTTGTTTTTTTAAAATAAAATGGAGTAGTACTCAGCCATAAAAAATGAGAAATTGGAGACATTTATAGCTAAATGGATGCACATTGAGGTGATACTCTTAAGTGAAATAAATAGGACACACATGTATAAATACCAAATAGTTTCTCTGATGTGAGAAACTGAAAATGTAAATAAGGACTAAAATGTATAATAGGTAATGTGAAATAAGAAGAAAAGGGGCAAAGGGGAAGGAAGTGGGAGGGGTACGGGAAAGGAAAGAAGAGAATGGGATTAATATGAGAAAATGGAAAACTAGGAACAAAATCTTTGTAAATAGGGAGGACTGGAGGGGTTGAAGGGAGGGCTGGGCAAGGGTGAAAAATAAGAACCAAGAGAGACTATGTAAAGGTGCAAATTTCCAATGATGAATGTCATTATATTGTATACCTAAAATGTGCCAATGATTAGAATGAATAATCGATAATGTAAAATAGGAAGAAAAGGTCCAAAGGGATAGAGGTAGTGGGCGGGGCAGGGGAAAGGAAATAAGGGAAAGGAAAAATGATGAGAAATGGAAAAAATGGAAATAAAGTCTTTGTAAATAGGGAAGGGTGGAGGGGGTGAAGGGAAGGCTAGGAATGGGGAAAAACTAAGAACCAAGATGCTTCATGTGAAGGTACAAGTTCCCAATGAGAAATGTAATTGTGTTGTATACCTAAAATGTACCAATAAAAGAATTTAAGAAGAAACAATAAAACCCCCCAAAAACCTCAAAAATCTACCATGCTTGTTTTGTGTTTTGTCAATTCTCTACCTATTGTATACCAAATTAACAGGAGGAAAAAATTAATGCTGTACTTATCCTAAGAAAATTTTCATCTATAACTTGGTGGAATTTCTCACTGAATGTTCTAATTGCTCTTCTTCCTTACACTTCTTGCTCTGCACATTTTCTCATTTGTCCTTCTTAGCTAGCAGCATTCTCCGGAAGACTGATCACAGCTTCCATCCTGTAAGTGATACTGATTTGGTTGTTTTACGTGATAGGTATACATGAATGAAAAAGAGAAGTCATTGACTTGATGCATGTGTGGTTGGATATGTGACCAAAGTGTATTAAACAGATTTTGGATAATGGAGACCAACCATCAGCATTCTTGTGGAACAAGAAAAAAATCACGTGAAAATAAGCTGGATAGGACAATGCTGCTTTGGAAAGCTGGAATTCTCTCATTTTCTGTTGTATCTCGCCTACTGACATCTGGTTTTTCTCTTTTTTCTTGTCTAGGAAGAAGGCTGTATTCATTTTTAAAAATTTTTCCTCCATCTACATTACCAGTGCTCTAAATCTTTCTCCTTGTCTCCATTTCCTTCTGTTGTTTGTTCATTAATCAACAATCTGTTATCCTCTGTTTATCATCCAATTTTCTTAATTCTATCCACTTTATTTTTTGGTACTGAGGATTGACTCCAGTCTTTGTACTGAGATATATCCAAGTCCTTTTAAAATTATTTTACATTGAGACAGGGTCTCACTAAGTTGTTAAGTTGTCCAAGCTGGACTCAAACTTGTACTCCTCCTTCCTCATCGCCCCAGGGCATTCTACTAACTTTTTATATCTCTTCCACAAATAATCAAAAAACTACTCTTACTTAGCTCTTCTTTTAATCTATCATTTTCTTGCTTATTCTTTTTACAACTAATATATTTAAGTTCAGGAATCAGTCCTATAATTTCTTTATCTCTTACATTTTGCTAGTTGGAATGTGTTTTTATGTGAATATCCATCAAGTTCATTCTCAGCCTTATGAAAATAAAAAGTTCAGCATCCAAGATATGTATTTCTTCCTGCCTCCCTGGTACAGGACCTTGTGCTTGCAAGGCAGGCACGGCACCACTGAGCTGAATGCCCAGCCCAAGATATGTATTTCTGTCCTACTTACATGGCATTTTTCCTCCATTCAATACTTCTCATTAGTCTCTCTTTTTGAGAGTCTCACTTGGCTTCCTTTTCATTTTTTGACCTCTTTGATCACTTTTTAATGCTTTGGTCATTGGTTATTTTTCCACCCAATATTTACTTCTGTGTTCTCCAGGAATCTGTCTTCACTTTCCCAGTCATCCTACCAGAAATAGGGCAATCATCTCATCTCAATCTCTTTTTTTCCCCCTCTTTACTTTGTGCTTCTAATTTCTCATATCATTTGACACATTTCAATTAAGTTTAGGTCTATAACATTTCTTCTCTGGACTAATGTATGCTTCACCTCTGGTGTTTGGATTTCTTCATTTAGAGCCATTCCAATTTCCTTTCCCTCAGTTGATTTATATTTCATTAATTGGAAGTAAATTAGTGAATATCTAGTTCTCTGAAACTAGAATTAGTTAAATAATATTTTGCAGTTATGACTGAGCCTAAAGTCTTTATTCCAATTTTCCACTTCTGGATGTATTCCTCTTTGGACTACAATTCTGTACATCAAGGGACTAGCAACCTTTGTACCCAATCTTGATTACTCTGGCGTATTATTCCCTACAGTTATCCCTTTATGATGCACTGGATTATTTACTTATTAATTGTTTAGATTGTCTTCATTAGAATTTAAGTCCCAAGAAGAATTTCATCTATTCCAAGGTCCCTCCAATGTTTCTGGAAGAATTGTAGACACACAGTAAGTATGTAAATAAATTATTAACATGTTGCTGAGGCCTATAAAACCAAATACAAATGATAGAAATAGCACTTATCCTTTCCTAAATTAATTTAATAATAGCAAGACTTACATTTTCTTAGCACAACCTGGCTTGATGAAGAAAGTCATAGATGGATGAAAAACAATAATCTGAAGTTCAGCAAACATTAAAATTTGCCAAGGAAGACAAAAGCACTGCAGTGCCCTTGCTGAAGAGCACTGGATACAGCTATAGTAAAATATTTGCAAACTATTTCAGTGAAAATCATTTTTTTAAAAAAATGCCTACCAGGACTTCCAGAACACCAACCACCACCATGGATAAAAAACACAGCACTTCTACGTGCATCCAGCTTCCTCTTTGGCACATATACACGGACAGGAACATTATCAAATTTTGTCTCAGTCACAGTGACATTTTCATCTGAATTTGGTGAGACTTCTTCAAAGTTCACAGTTAGTGCAATTAAATCAGCAAAATGGTAAAGTCCCAGAAACTCAATAAATGTGGCCTAAAAACAAAATTAACAAGCAGCTCTAGAATCAAATTCTAAATTCAAAAAATTTATGAAGGTATAAATACTTAATACTTAATTAGATCAAAGAAAATGAACTAAAGTCTCATACATGAATCCCCTTTTCCTTTTAGAAAAAAATCCAATAATCATGCCTACAGTAATTGTTAAAAGGGAGGAAAAACACTTATCTAGTCCTATTCCACAAAATGTTTCAGGTTCAATACTAAGCTTTGGGGTTGCATATATGAACAAGATAAATGTACTTCTCAAGAACCTCAGAGTTAAGGATGAAAGGCAGGTAAATACGCTGTTATAAAATAATGTAAATGCTGTGATAGAGTCCTGAACCAAGTATTTTGACCCAGGTCATTGCACTTGACCCCTGAAAAAAAGACCTTTCATAAGAAATTAATCAAATAAAAGAATAAAAAGAAAACCCATTCCAGGCGGATGACCAGTATATCCTGGAGATGAGGGTGCTCTTGTTGATGCAGGGAGGAATAGTTTTAGATTTCATGTAGTAAAAAAGGGTATTGGGAGATGCAAAACAATGGAGAACCAGGATGGAAAAGAGAAGTAAAATTGATTAAGATATGATATGTGTATGCATCAATTACACAAATTGAATGTAACAATTATATTTAGTGAATATACATCAATTAAAATATTATAAAAATAAAACAATTATAAAATAATGCTGCTGCACATGAGCAGACATGATTTAGACATGATGGATGGAGAAAAAGGGAGGACAGCCTGTTTGCCTGAAGCCTGTGCTTCTGCTTTAGAGCAATATTGTGGTCCAAGCATTTTATGAGAATAAGCCTCAGTAATATTACCCTATTAACCTGTGAAAGAGATAATATTATCACACTTGTTTGAAAGAGGAAGAAAATAAGCCCAGGGAAATTAAATACTATAATTAGTCCAAACATACACAGCTAGGAAATGATATTTTAAGTCCATTTAACTTGATTCTGGATTATTAATTTATAATTATAATTATAATTAACTTATAATTGTAATAATTACATGATTCTTAGTTTATAGCATAATTGCCTAGAATAGCAATGCTTCATTCATAGCACAAATGTAAATATAATTCATGTCTCCAATAAAATGTCACTAGGCACTCAGTGAATGACAGAATTTGAAGGAGCCAGACAAATTCTCCATGAAGTCCCAGCTGAGTCAAGGAAATTGCAGCAAACAAAAAGTGTTTGAAGGAGTGAAGAACTATATTAACATACATTTTAAAGTTTATATCATTTGCAAACTCTGAAAATATGTTCATAAATCATCAATAAAGTGGAAAAAGTAAACCTAAAAAGACTACAACAGAGAAGAAAAGCTCAAAAACCAGATACATAATTGATTAAATGAAAAGTAAAATCTAATTAATAATAAGATTCAAAGAACAAAAATTGAAAGAACTCTTCAAAATTATAGAGAAAATTGAGCAAATATGAAAAAAATAAAACTACTTAACTCTATGATAGCTCTATATTATACACAGAATTCAATTAAAACTTACTACCACAGAGCACAAAGCACTGTATTCTATGACACTTTGTGCCTCTGAATTAAATTGAGGCACTATCACATCAATTGCAAATATTTAATACAATTTCTACAACTTGTCAGTATTTTGTAGTTAAGAATTATGTGCTTGTTGCTATGTCACTGAAAAAAATGTTTCCTCAGTACTTACAGTGGTTGTTTTTTTATGCACTGATCTCTAAGCATAAGCTTCCTATTCATAACGAATTTTGCTAATTATAAGTACAGTAGCCCTGCTCTCATTACTTGCTCACGTTATTCACCTTCCCTGTCTCATCTCCCTTAAGGCGTTCCTTATAATCTGAAATCATTCATTCATTTAATTCTAATTTAATAGTTTCCCCCACACTAAAATATCAATTTTGTAAAGACAGACTCTGTTTGCCTAATAGGTTCTGGCAGAGATTTGAAGAATTAAAAGAATGAAAAAATAAGAGGAATTACAGCATCTATCTTGTTTCAATTCTGAAAGGAGAGCTATAAAAATGAAGTGAATGAAATAGTGGAATAAAATAATAGCAAAATATACTCTAGATGCCAGAGAGGTTGCCTTTGCTTATTCACCACATCAGAGATGCTCTGAAAACAGCCAGTTTCCAAAACACAGGAGGGTCTGCCCTTCTGTTTTTGTCTATTAATTTTTTTCTGCCTTAAGCCATGGCAGATGCCAACCATTCTGCAGTTTTTCCTTGAAATACTATTTACATGTCATTTTCTGTACTCTGAATCCCCCCCCAAAAAATCCCTAAAAGTCTATATCTAATGCATTACTGCATAATCCAAAAATCTCTGGCTTATGTAGGAAACTATGTGCTTATGAATCAAGCCCCAAGGTAAAAATTTCAATAAACAACCACCATCATAACATTAATACTAACTAAACAGAGTAATATTTCAGTACAATCTACTCAACCTCTAGCTTGTCATTTCCTATTTATAAACATGTTTTCAACATATGACAGAGCAAGTGAACAAATAAGCCAGGTTTCAAAGCTGTAAATAGTCAAAAGGCATACTACTTATTTTAAGAAGATGAATAAAGCAAAAGACAAGTATCCTAGACCAATTCTTCAGAATGTATGATTGCACACAAACATCTGAATTCATAAATTTCAGACTTACCAAATGTAGAAAAGTTTTCAGTGGTACACTGATCAACATTAATCTCCAGGGCTCCTCAAGCTTATCTGGGAGAGGAGTGTAAATGTAATATGCTACAAGGATCCCCACAATCAGAAGGCATAGTGACTTTCTCCCCATGCTGTAATTTCTAGGCTTCTGTCTTCAGAAACACAGAAAGTAATCTTCCTAGGGTTGCCTGAATAACAAGCTTCAATAGTCAGTATGATGCAACCCCACCTCTTTGCTTTCTCTATAAAGTTTAGAATTGCTCACTTCCTTTTAAGGTTAGCAGAGTAAGGTTAGAATTTAATTGGTTATCCAAAAATAATTTCATAGATTACCAAGTCAAAGTTCGATGTTTGATAAAAGCTTGGACAAGTTCTTTGAATGATCAAACTCTTATCTTTGTTTCTCCCTAGGCAAATATGTATTACACAATAATCAAGGAAGTAATTCTTTAATTCTAACAAATTTATTCACAGCAATCATATAAGAGGCAGAAACTTCTTTGTGAAACAGTGCAACATGGAAAACAGGGAAACAAATACACATATTTTTACAGTGTATTGAGAGCATAGAAAACAAAACAAAAACTATTTTCTCTCCCCTTAAAGAATTGACAATCGTGCAAGAAACAATTTAGCAGTTAGTTATGATAATTATTGATAGAGGAATTATAAAAAATGTGATAATAAGAAAGGAAACAATAGTAGAAAATATTTCTTATCTATTCTATGAGGCAGGCCTTATGCCAAGTGATTTTCTTAGTGAATCTAATTAAGTCAAAATAATATCCATCATGTCAATACTATTGTTCTTCTATAAATGGATAAAATGAGTTTTAACAGGTTAAGAAATTTGCCAAAGTTATATAATTTTTTATGTTACAGCCAGAAAATTTTAGGTGGCTAAATAGTATTTATAGATTTTTTTTAAAAAAACAAATTTATTCATCCAAGAAGGTGTGTATATATGTGTGTGTGTTCTAGAATAGAAATATAAAGAAATACTGCATTTTGTTCTTACACTGCAAAGACCAATGATGTTTTCATTTCCTATCATATTTTTACTACATTTTGACATGTTTCCTGCTTGATACTTGTAATTAATTATTTGATCAAGAAGTCCTGGTTTTCTTTAGAGGGAGTGAAAATGGAGGGGGTTAGGAACTGCTTATAATGCTAGGGCAGTATAGTGTGCAAAGCAATAAAGAATAGATCTTTTGATGTGATTTTTTATTGATTTTTAAATTTAACAGTATAAGATTGCCTCTCACTTTCTATATGTAGTTTTTCAGATGAATAATTAACTTTGTTAATTGAAAGTATGTTTGCTGTTGCAAAACTAGAAAACACTGATATACAAAAAAAAGAATATGATACTTTCAAGCACTTCATGGACTACACTTGTTTAAAAGAACATTCTAAAAAGAGGATAAAATTGGAGAGGTATCTCTGGTAACATCTATGCATTCATTTTGAACATTTGAGCAATATCATAACAATATTAAAAATGATGTAAAATTAATGCAACACACCAGTGGTCACCCACCATCCCAACCCAATGACAATTTTAATTTGTGCACTTTTTTGGATTTCGCCTAATGATCACTCTATTGTTTGTCATTTATTCAAGTCTCTTCTGCTTATGTTTGTTTTTTGTAATATTGACAATCCCTAAAATAGTTTCAATCTATTTCACTTGTCATTGAACTTCACTCTTTGACCTCTAATTATTATGTCCTTATGATCAAGGAATTCCTTTAGTTCTTTTCTTAACTAACATTTCAACAGTCTTATTTCTTTCTAAAAATATAGAAGCAATAATTGTGATTATAGCTAACATTAGTGCTATACATGATTATGTCCTTTAAATCTTCTCATGATATTTGATAAGTTGAAACTCTCTAAATCCTTAAAATGAGGAGGCTGATGGGCAATTTAGTGAAACAGAGAATAAAAGAACAGCACAAATAATCAATGAAACAAAAATTGCTTCCTTGTAAAGAGTATGTTATGTTATGTAATGTATGTTAGGCATACTTATGTTGTTGTATTGTAGTTAAAGATTAAGTATGCTTTAAGGAACCTTTGTCTCCAAGAACAATCCAACTTTCAGTGATCACCTTGACATATACTGGCTTCCCATTATTTTGGCAGTAATAATCCTCTTGGCATTTTCTACACAAATGCTGTGGCTGTCTACAGCTGTAGCAAGTCATTTGACCATATTTGGAGTTCTGGAATGCTGGGATGGTGCTCTGAAAGGAAGTTACCAGGGCTTCAGCCTTTTATTTGTTTCTCTTTCTCTTTCCTTAGATTTTCCTGTTTTCTCGTATAAAAGATCATGATGACCTCTTTAGGAAGGTTCTTGTGAGTACTATCTGATTTTATTGTGTATTTTTGTAGCTTTCTCCAAATATCTGGAGCAGTGTAATACAATTATTCTTTAGCGTAAGTTGACCTTCAGAGGTTTTAGGGCACATGAGGGTATGCTTATTCAGGACCTCTCTAAATCTTTTTATGGAGAAAGAATTTTTTTGTAACTCTGGGTGATAATTGACAGCTTAGAGTAATTTAAAGGCTTGGAGTGAGATTTCCGTGGGTCCTAAGGGGAACAGGCTTGGCAATGTTTGCAATAACATTCACCCAGAGGGCTATTTTGGTCCCACTGGGGATCTTCTTTAGGGATCATTTGATTCCCTGCAAGCTATATCTTTTCTTTTTCTTTTCTTCCTTGCCTTATCAGTTGGGCTGTGAGCTCTGCGATCTGTTAACTAAGGACATTTCATTGCTGAATCCCTAGGCTTCCCATAAAGAAACTTGATTTTTAGTGGTACTGAGTTTGGTTTAACAGGATTCCATCTTTCCAGATTGTGTTAAAAATCTGTATGAGTCCCAGAAAAGAACTTACGTATCTACCTGAGTCATCTGAATACTTTTCCAAAACAGCCTTGATCTGTTTAAATTTTGCAGTAGAAGGGCACTTGTACTTTCTGAGTGTCAAATTTCCTGCCACTATCTTTTGTAGGGGAAGAAATGAGGAAGTTCCCACTTTGTTAGAGGAAGAATCAAGATCTGTAGGACAAATAGTTCAACATGGGAAGGTGCAGATAAAGCTTGTTTGGAGAGGAGCTTGGGTTTGTCTCCTGGACTTGTTAAGTACTAGGAATATCAGGTCAGTTTAAGTTGTAGACACAACTTTAGGTTATCTTTCAAGGCAGAGAAAGACTTCTGACCATCTTTTTTGTTTTTGCTACTGGGCATTGAACTCCGGACCTTGCACTCACCAGGCAAGCGGCAGAACCACTGAGCTAAATCCCCGGCCCATGACCATCTTTTTTTAATACAATAATTTAAATTGAAGAATAGTGATATAATTCATACTTCCCTCAGGTAACCATTTTTTGCCATCTTCCAAAGGGTAGGTGGTTCAGGTACCTGGGCAAAAGAATGTCAGAGGGTGATTTTTCAGGGTCTAGGGATCAAATGAGTCCCAATTTTTTGTGTGTGGAAGGTTGTTTGTTCTAAGCAAAGGGTAAAATGTTCCATTCTGTAACTCGGTTATCCTTTTTTGGAGTCTTTCGAGTAGTGGATGCCCTAATGGCCTGTAGCTATCTGATCTGTGCCTGCAAGAGTGTAATCATACAATTAAAATGAGACAATAGGATATGGGGGATCTTTATTATCTCCTAGCAACTTTAGCCATTAAAAAGAGTCATGATCGGAAAAAAGGTGATTTGTTCCCTCTAAATTCTGTGTTAATTAAACCCATTGAGAGTCAAGAGCTCCAAGATCACTGCCTCACCAATGGAAGGATCAAATCAGAAAGGAAAACTGGAACAACATTCCTTCTACTTGTGTTAGAAGGACATCAGCTCAGGCCATATCAGTGAAACCTGTCCCTGGAGACCAAGATTGGCAAGTTTGCTAATCATTTTTGGGTTTTTTTTGTTTTGTTTTTTTTTTTGGTACTGGGGATCCAACTTGGGTCCTTGCACTTGCGAGGCAGGTGGCAGAACCACTGAGCTAAATCCCCGGCCCATTTTTAATTGGTCAAAGGGGTCTTTATATTGATTTGAGCAGAAAGCCTCAAAGTGAAAGTAAACAGTATAGGAAAGCATAGACTTTACTTACCTCCTCTTGGAATCCCAGATGAGCCCCAAATATGATAACAGAATGCCAGGGTCATGTTCCATCATGATGAAGAAAGAAACTGACCAGAAGAGATAGGGTGCAAGCAAATTTACTTAAAAGATATAAAGGAAAGGAAATAAAATATACAACAAGGAAGTAGAGCTCCCAGAAGCTGAGAGGTCTTGAGTAGGTTATCCACAAGAGCTCTTTGTCTAGGAGTTTTCAAGGAGTCTGTATGGGAGTCTGTGCTCTTGTGTAAGCAATATGATCTTTACCCTATAAAAGGCTATATACTTTTCAGGGGCCAATCTGTGCAGTGTTCCTGCAGTGCCCAGACAGGGCCCATGCACCACTGATTCAATGGCCTGCCTGATTAAACTCTGGCAAGGTTCCAGACAGCCACAGGGTAGCTGGTAGATATATTTTTTAAGATCTGTAAAGAATGGGGACTCAGCAGACTCCATTTTGGATTTCCCAACTCCAACTAGGGACCACTATCCTTTCTGCCTAATAGAATCCTAACTCTTGTTTTATTGATTTTTGTCTCAATATGTTGTAGAAAGATAGCCTGTTTAACAAATGTTGCTGGGAAAATTGAATATCCCTATATGGAAGACTGAAATTAGATCCCTATTTGTCATTGTGTACAAAAAAGCCAGTTGAAAATGAAGCAAAAACTTTAGTTTAAGATTTGAAACTCTTAGAAGGAAACATGGAGGTAGTACTTCCAGATATGAGCACAAGCAACAATTTCTTGAGTAGGGCTCTAATAGATAAGGAAACAATAGCAATAATTGAGAAATATGATCACACCAAATTAAGAAGCTTCTGTACAACAAAGGAAACATTTATTAGAGAGAAAACCAGCCTCCATACTGAACAGAACCTTTCTCTGCTACTGTTCTGACAGAGGATTGATATACAGAATATATTTTAAAACTCTAAAAGTTAACACTACAGTATTAAGTAATCCAATCAATAAATTGGTAGCTGAGCTGAACATACATCTCTCAAAATAAGAAGTACAAATTGTGAATAATTATATGAAAGAATGTTCAACATCATTAGACATCAGTCAAATCTAAATCCAAACTACACTGAGATTCCATCTCACCCCACAATAGGAAT